GGTCATCGGCAAAAATGAAACAATTCGACTCGTGAAAGCATTCTGTGACATCATTTATATAAATATTAAATAAAATTGGCCCCAGCACAGATCCTTGGGGAACCCCCGATGTTGATTGGTAGGGCTTTGAAACATGCCCTTTGACAACAACAAAGGAAGCCCTGTCCGTAACGTAAGATTCAAGCCACGACAGTACAGTCCCTCCAAAACCAAAGTTGGATAGTTTTTTTATAAGTAGTGAGTGATTAACTTTGTCGAAGGCCTTGGAGAAATCAGTATATATTGTGTCTACCTGAACACGAGAATCTATTGATTCTGAAAGGAAAGTTGAAAAGTTGGTTAAGTTAGTAGCAGTAGATCTGGACTTAGTGAACCCATGTTGCGCATTGGATAATAATTGCTGGACATGACGAACAAAAGTTGGTCGCAACAAGGCCTCCAACATTTTTGGTAAAACTGAAATTAGTGAAATAGGCCGATAATTAGCTATATTGCTTCGGTCACCTTTTTTGTATATCGGTACTATTCGGGCTTGTTTCCAGAAACTCGGATAGATTCCCGTTTTTAAAGACTCGTTATATATTATACTAACCGGTAGTGACAGTGGTTCTGCACACCTAACCAAAAATATGGGCGGTAAATTATCAGGGCCGGCGCCTTTAGATAAATCAAGTCTTTTTAGTTTCTTGAAGACTTCATGTTGAGTAAATTGAATATAGCAAAGAGATACGCTAGACACTGGGTTTGATGATGTATGACTTAATGATGAATTAACTTCATATACCGATGAGAAGTTTTTAGCAAATAAGTTGCAGATGTCAAAACCATTGGATGCTTCCTGATCATCCAAGACCATTCTAGAGGGATACGTATTCGAAGATTTTTTTAAGTTCTTTAGATGGGTCCAGAAATATTTTGGATTATTTGAAATATTCGACTCAATATTTTCAATATAGCTCTTGTATTCGTTTTTAAGTAATTTGTTACATTGTTCACGTAGTTCGACAAATTCCATTTGGTCAATGGGATTCTTGTACTTTTTATATTTTAATCTTGCTTTATGCTTTAGTTTTAACAAATTTATAATTTTTTTGGAAAACCAGGGTGGATATTTGCTGTTATTAGGTTTACATTTGGGTACATGTTTTTTTATTAATATGTCTAATTCATGATAAAAGGTCATTACCATTGTATTAACGTCAGGACACTTTGAAAGAACGTCTATCCAAGAAATGTTGTTTAAGTCCGTGACTATACTGTCATAATTAGCTTTGTAAAAATTATATCTCTCATTGTAAATTTCTGTGACTAACTGCTTTTTGTTTGAAGTTACTGTTATATGTAGTGGCGGGTGGTGACTATCAACAATACTAATAGGGTTACAGCTTTCTTTGATTTTAAGTTCAGTTGTGTTGCTTAAAACAAGATCTAAGATTCGTTGGTTAGTGTTGACAACATAGTTATATTGATTTAGCGAATTCTCCTCTATAAAATCGACAAACATTGCATCGAGAGTACTACTGGGGTTATTACTTAGTTGCAAGTGCGATACTCCCTGCTGTTGGGACCACGTAAGGCTACTAAGATTAAAGTCACCCGCCAATAATACATGATCGTTCTTACTAATGACGACATTCGTATGAGAAATGAAATCTTCTAATTTATCCTTAGAGACAGGAGGTGGTAGATAAAGCGCACAAATTGCAATGTGTTTTGACTTACCCAAAATTTTGATGTCAACTGTCACCCATAAGTCTTCGCAACTACTTTCCCACATTGTCATACGATGCGATATTATGTCATTACTGACTGCTATTAAGACTCCACCTCCATTCATAGCATTCCTATCTCTCCTATAAACGGTGTATCTACTATCGAAGATTTCTCCATCAAAAACACTATCATTTAGCCAACTTTCAGTAAGTATATATATGTCATGATCATTGTTTAAGATATTAATTTTGACTTCCCGACATTTACTGCGCAGACCTCTAACATTCTGGTAATATATTTTTAAAAAGTCCATAGTAATTTAACAGAAACAAAAAAACAAAACAAGTGGTTACAACTAATCAAACACAAAAAACTTGAGAAAATAAATCCTAAAAGACTACGAGTAAATAGAATCAAAGTAATTATGTAAGTGACTTTAACTGGTCAGCTTCGCGGATAGTTATGTGCTCTGATGTCTCCGATTTTCTCATGAATATTCGACTATTTTTAATCCACACAAATTTGAAATTTAGTCTCTTTGCGGCTTCTCTGGTAAGGGCGTGAAGTTTCTTCACCTCTGGGGCTAAGTGTTCGAGCACATATATTGGGTTCCTATCACCTCCGTAACCGATGTGACTGGTGTTCAATTTATCGTTACGGTGCTTCTTGTTGTACTGCATTACACTTGCAAGGAACGCATCCCTATTCCGGGGATTTGAAAAAGTAACCACCACAGAGCGAGGACGCTTGCTTTCTGGGTTCATTTTGGCAATTCTTGTGCACTTGATTATATCACTCTCGACCAGATTGTTACCAACCGCCTTAGAGATTTGAGTAACAACGTTTATCAGATTTTCCGTTTTGTGCTCAGGTATACATTGAATTTCTACGTTACTCCTCCTGGAGTACTGTTCGAAAATATTTAAGCGATTACCCAAGTCTTTAACTGTGCTTCTCAACATTTCGTTTTCTCTTTTCATGTCAGCATATTCAGTTTTTAAGTTAGTGATTGATTCTTTCATTTCGTTGAATTCCTTAAATATCTCCTTGTACTTTTCTTCAATTATCTTCGTCATCCTTATCTCCATATTGCTCAGAAGGCCGTCCATTGTTTCTTGCATCATAGCCTTAACATTCTCTAACGTAAGGCTATCCGCAGTATTTATGGTGGTATCATTTTTATTGCGTCGCACAGTGACGTTTGATGTGGTGTTATCCTGGCTGGTATCGAAGCCCACAGTCCGTGTCAAAGATATAGAACTGTCAGCTTTCGGCAGCTTAGGGCGACACGCAGAGCAGACCCAGGAGTTTTTGAAGTCTGACGAAACACTTTTGAATTTCTTAGCCGTGGTACTAACACACTCAAAGTGATATTTTAAAGAACATGTATTACATTTTAGATGCTCCGGAGTAGACATATCACGTGCACATCCAGCGCATTTTTTTGTGTTTTGTACCCTGGCATTCATTGTAATACACAAACTTGCAACTTTATGAAATGTTATTGTTTAATCGACACGCTGGCACACAACTATCACTTAGTATACAAAATTAATTGCGCATATTATAGTCGCAGGCGCTGCCTCTCAAATAGTCAATGACATTAATATGCAATTATTTTGTAGTTTACTAAGATTTTCAATTATCACTTATACATAACATATATTAAATCAATAACATATGTATATATGCTTGTTACTTAATCGTAAATAACAATAGTTCAAAAGTGTCGTATGTTTGTTGGGTACATCAACAATTATTATTCAGCGTAATAAATATCATTTAAAGAATCTTTATGAAACCCTTATCACTTATCACTTCAGACACATAACTAAAACACAACACTGTAATATTACTGTAGACAAGTATAAATCACTGATAAATAATTTAGTATAATAAAATTACGCGTACGGATTTAAAGTACATGTTTACGCACGGCGCTGCGGTTTCGAACAGACTCCAGACTTTGTTTTATATCTGTGCCAAATTTCAATAAGATACGTTGAACCGTTGCATTATGTGTTCTTCCAGACTATGCTCTAAACCTGTGCCAAATTTCATGGAGATCCGTTCAACCGTTTAGGCTACAAACGCTAACAATCATCCATCCATCCATCCATCCATCTAAACTTTCGCATATATAATATTAAGTAAGAAAGATTAGTATTGTGTTAAAAAAATAATGGCTTTCATTTGTTCCGATATTTTTACAGTTAGCTTTTATGTCAATTTAAACCTTTGAATTTTTTCTTTAAAAAGCAATTGAAAACGGTAACGGCGGCG